ACGACTCTGCTTTCCTTCATTGATGCTCCCCTCTATCTGCTCCTCCTCAACCCCCACTTGTCAATCGTCATCCCTTTGACTCTCCACACACTTTTGCACCGCCCCCTGTCTCCTTCTGGTCGATCTTCATCCTCGCCTTTTCCCGTTTGCTCATCTCCAGCTACTGAGTATAACTCCAGCTCCAGGTCTAGATCTTTGTCAGATGACTTCTGAACGGTCATTTTTCCTTGGTTCTTTTTCTCGATCTGTTCTCTCTCATTTATACTCGACGATCTGCACTTGAACGCTTCCGCCTCACTCACTTTTTGACCGCCCGCCACAATATTTACTTCCGAGTTTCTTCTCGACTACTTGTCCTGACTCTCGATAGTGAACGTCGGCATAGAATAACATTGTACTGGACGCAAGGTTCGACATTTGACAGAGGCCTATGATTCATATCTCCCCGCCCTTCCTGTGCGCGATCTGTCGTTGTGGTCATGGAGGGAAGCGGCAAGGACAAGGACGGCACGGATAATGCTCCCATTGTATGAGTTGCGCTCCTAATGCAAGTGTATGAGCATCTTTTACTAATCCTGATCGTTTTTCTAGAGGCCGGTTTCCTCCCTTCTGTCACATTTTGAGAACCTGTCCCATCGCCGATCACCTTCCGCCTTTACAACTACTAGTCCACACGATTCGAGTCCCTTCCTGAGGACGCCCGAACCTGTCGACGAGGTACGCTCCGCGCGCGCTTCTCTCGACCTTCCGCGGCCTCAATCCCCATGGACTGTGACGGCAAACTCTCAGAACGGCCAGCGGTACGATCGGGCAAATGGCGGGTTCTCACGGCATGGCGGCTCCCCCGGATCTCCAGGCAGAAGGCATAGCAGACCCATGTCGATGAACTTCCACTCGTCGCCGCAACTGGCACCGACTTTGACGGTTGACTCGCCGCGATCGCCTCCTCGTGGATTTGCATCACAAGACCACACCGAGCATAGTGTCGACTCCAGGATGTCTCGCAGTCCCCCTGATCCATCTCGGGGGTCATTGCCCCCGCCGACCAACCGACCAACAACGCCCAATTTCTCGACGTCCCAGCAGCGGCTTGGTCATCTGTCGCCAGCGCATTCTCATTCGGGGAGCTTCATCGGCGAGAGTCCGCCCGATCGAAAACAAAAAAGCGCGTCGTTGCCTCCCCCCGTCCATCGGGCGGAGAAGCCGAAGGTCCCCGCAAAGCCGGCAGCCTTAACTTCCCATGACAGCGCAACTCTGGCACCCCAGCCCGAGGGGACAACGTCGGAGGATCGGATATCACCGTTCAGCACGCCCCCAAGCAGTCCCGAGAAGTCGTCTCTAAAACCATCGTCTACTGGACGTCCGCAGATCCCACGCTCTCCCTCTCGGCCTGTGACCGAACCCCCAAGTCGTCAATCGTTCGATGATAGGAACCCTGTGCCGTCTGCGCATGCTCTTCGGGATGCGCGCGAGCTTGGGTTTTCGCGCAGGAGACCTATCCCAGAACCGACGCGGGACATGAAACCACTGATGGTACAGATCCCTCCGCATCCATTGAAGCAAACGGAGGCGCTGTCGGCTGTGCCGTTGTCGGCTCGCAGGCTTCAAGTGACCGATACTCCGACCGAGCCTCCAAGCCTCCCGCCACGGCATTCATCTTTGGCACGAAAGGGTGGCGTGTCTCCATCTCGGCCGTCGCTGCATCTGGACAGCCCTTTGCATCCTGAACCCTCGCCTAGACCGCAGTCAATTCAATTTCCCCCAAGGGAATCCCACACACCCACCCAAATCCACCGACAGCCGTCATTCTCCAGAGACGCTAAGCCAGGGCAGGCAACTTCTGTTCCTGAACGGCAGTCGGCCCGTGCGGACGCATGCGGAGAGGATCCCGTGGACGAACCGACAATCTCGCGAACTGACTATCCTGACGCATCAAGCACTAATCGTCGACCGCCTCTTCTCAGGAACGGACCGAGGGAGATCCATACAAGATATGATACTCGTTTGATGGATGTATGCGGCAAGCATGTGTGTACTACGGGTTACATAACCAGGGTATGGGACCTCACCAACGGGGAACAAATCATGAGTCTTAGCCACGGTGAGACTGTGAAGAGTCTATCGATAGCATTCAAGCCAGGTACCGGTCTGGAGGATGAGGGTCAGCGGCTATGGCTGGGCATGAGCACGGGAGAAATCCATGAAGTGGACATCTCCACTCGGTCCATTATAGCAACACGGTCCTACCCTTCGCGTCGTGAAGTGGTCAAAATCCTCCGACATAAAAAGGAGATGTGGACTCTTGACGACGAGGGACGATTGCTTGTCTGGCCGCCGGACGAGTCTGGCACTCCGAATCTTCAGTACAGCTACCATAACCCTTACGACCGTGTCGCCCGAGGACATACATGCTCGCTGGTTGTTGGAGATACACTATGGCTGGCCACCGGCAAGGAGGTTCACGTGTATCGGCCAAACGCACCTGACGATATCTCATTCAAGGTTTTGAAAAAACCTCTGGGCTCGCAGCACTCTGGCGATGTCACCTCCGGTACCTACACAACTAGAGATGGGGGACGTGTGTATCTGGGCCACGCGGATGGCAAGGTTACCGTGTACTCTTCCACAGATTACACTTGTCTAGCAGTCGTCAATGTAAGCGTTTACAAGATCAACTGCTTAGGCGTGGTTGGTGATTATCTTTGGGCGGCCTATAAGACGGGCATGATCTATGTCTACGACACGAGAACCAACCCGTGGATGGTCAAGAAGGATTGGCGAGCGCATGACGGTCCAGTCTCTAGCTTCCTACTGGATTCCAGTAGTGTCTGGACAATGAATCGTCTGCAGGTGACTTCGTTAGGAGATGACAATTGCATCCGTCTCTGGGATGGAATGCTGGAGGATGACTGGCTGGGTAAGTTGATACCCTCAATGTTAGATGAATGAAAAGTGAAAACTAACATCAACAGAAACCTGCATGCAGAGCAAGGACGTAGAATTCTGCAAGTTCCGTGAGATCTCGGCAGCAATTGTGACATGGAATGCTGGCGCGTCTACGCCAGGTAGCGTCCGCTCCAGCAACTTCATTCAGGAGGCAATCCATCCCGAAAATCCACCCGAGATTTTGGTCTTCGGCTTCCAGGAGCTTGTGGATCTGGAGAACAAGAAAATCACAGCCAGTGAGTACATAACCTGGGCAGCCTCACTTAGCCATTTTACTGATTCGTCTTTAGAAAGCTTGCTGTTGGGGAGCAAGAAGAAAGAGAGTGGAGAGAAAGAACATATGAGCCGTCAGTACAGGGTATGGATGGAGCATTTGACTCGCTGTATCAACGACTGCATGCCCCTCGAGGAGTCTTATGTTCTTCTACATTCCGCGAATCTTATTGGTCTCTTTACCTGCGTCTTTGTCAAGCATAAGGAACGACAGAGGATCAAAAACATCAGCGCTGCAGAGGTGAAGCGGGGTATGGGTGGCTTGCACGGAAACAAGGTATGTATTTTGAAAAACTACGCTGATTTCCGGTCCGGTTGCTGATTGTATAGGGTGCCTTGATTCTTCGCTTTATACTCGACGATAGTTCTTTCTGTTTCGTGAATTGCCATTTAGCAGCCGGGCAGTCGCAAACGGCGCACCGCAATAATGACATTGCAGCCATTCTTGAGTCCGAATGTCTTCCGATAGAGAGCAGCCTTACCACTCGGGCAAACCACTTCGTCAGCGGCGGTGATGGATCAATGATTATGGATCATGAGATTTGCATACTGAACGGTGATCTTAACTACCGAATCGACTCGATCCCACGAAATGTAATCATTGAGGACATTCGCAATAACAACCTCGCAAAGTTGCTGGAGCGAGACCAACTGCTGGCATCGAGGCGCAAGAACCCGGGCTTCCGACTCCGGTCATTCACGGAGGCGCCCATCACGTTCGCGCCGACGTACAAGTACGATGTTGGCACGGACGAATACGACTCGAGTGAGAAGAAACGGTCCCCTGCGTGGTGCGATCGCGTACTCTACAGGGGGCTGGGTCGGATTAAGCAGTTGGAGTACCGACGACACGAGGTCCGAGCCTCTGACCATCGGCCTGTGAGCGCATCGTTCAAGCTCCGCGTCAAGACCGTGTTACCGCAGGAACGTGCCACGGTGTGGGAAGCATGCCAGCAGGAATTTCAGAAAGAGAAGCGGAGACTGGCTTCTGAAGCCAGGTAAGCTATTTCCCCACTCTGTCTTTCCATTTAGTTGTTACTAACGTGCGTAGCATTGAATATCTGATCAGCGTCCTGGGGACAGATCCTCAGCAAGCACGAGCATTGATTCTAGGCACGGGAACTCAATGAGCCGTTGCTTGATTTTGCCTTTCTTCTCCACACTTTCGTACATGGCATTTCTTCTCTGTGGTGATCGGCTTCTTTGGTACAGGCAAAAGTTGGTCAGAAAAGCGAAGGGTGTTGTTGCTGTGCTGTTGTTGTTGTACGACTAATGATTTCACGATAGACATGTATCATGAAGAGAGCCCTGGGTGGTAGATAGACTCATTGTTGTGCAGGCAGATGATTAGACAACTGCATTCAAATCATAATCTTTCCCCATTATACTATTTCAGTTAGTCTTCAGACATGCATCTCACCTTCTCATTTCAGCACGGTATATCGTCCGTTCTCCGCCTTTCAACCCGCACGGAGTCTCTTGCATGCAACCAGTTGCAATATGTGCCCAACTTGACATAGCGCTAGCCTCCAAAGGTGAGAAGCTTAGGATATTTCTCCGGTGGGACGAATGCTCTCGTCGTCCCGGATCTCATTGATTGGCTTGAGAACATGGTGATCAGCAGATGATACTCCTCAGCATCACTTGTTGTGGATGCTTGTTCGGGTCCCGCCGCAACGTCAGATTGCGGGGAATGCTTGCTTATATACTCTGACTATGTGAGCACTTGCAGCCCAGTCCTTTGCACTCTGCATTGAAGGTATCAGGGACGAGCAGTCAATATGACCAAGTTTCTCTCTCTGGCAACTGCAGTGTTGGCTCTCGCTCGAGAGAGCAATGCCCTCGTTAGACCGGACAATGTGGTAAGATCCTCCCTCTTCCGCTCCTTGTACGAGCAGACGTTGAGACTCAGCAGGGGAAACTGCCGGCCCTAGGCTGGAACTCGTGGAATGCCTTTGGCTGCGACATTGATGCCGCCAAGATCATGACTGCCGCGAACGAGGTCGTCAACCTGGGCTTGAAGGACCTGGGATACGAGTATATCAACAGTGAGTGGGCGCCATTGAACTCCTAGGATGAGGTTGACGGGGTAATGGTAGTCGATGATTGCTGGTCTGTCAAGAGCGGACGGGACGCGAGCACGCAGCGCATTATACCGGACCCTACGAAGTTCCCTGATGGCGTCTCGGGCCTGGCAGACCAGATCCACGATCTGGGGCTGAAAGTCGGGATCTACAGCAGTGAGTCCTTGAGTCCCGGCTAACAGACACATACACATCCGTGAGCAAGGGTGCGCTGATGATATGAAGGCGCGGGGCTGACGACCTGCGCCGGATACCCTGCCAGTCTGGGCTACGAAGACATCGACGCCCAGACATTCGCTGAATGGGGCATTGACTGTATGTCTTATATCTCAAGCCCAAGCCCCGCTACGGCGGCCCCCCTCCCCTC